TAAGAAATAAGTGCTTCAATTTATTTTTTTTATTTATAATTTCCATTTTCAAAAAGAAAAGAAATGAAAAAGCATAAAATTAAAATAACAAGAAGCCAGCTCAAAGCTTTTCTTGAAGAACATTCAAAAGCAATTTCTTCAATTAATATTAAAGGAGTTGGTAGTATCTTAAAGGAGTTGGCGGTATCACTACAAAGTTATAAGATTTCTATGTTTTCCCTCAAATTATAAAATAATAATAATAATAATAATATAAATTCAAAATGATTTTTGTTATTCAATTCCAATTGATTCCCAAAAGGACCATCTAACAAACTGCATTTCACACAAATATCCAGTAACGAAGGTATACAAATTCAGACCAAAAATACAAAAATGGTGTAAAGATAAATGCTCTAATCTTCAATTTAGTTGAATCAACTAGGCTAGCTTAGTTAGTTACTTATGTAAAGTCTCAATTGATTATTTTTTCCTAATAGGGTCATGCTTTGGTTATTCATTTCTTCCCCATTAGGGGGGCCTTTATTATATTGATGTAATTGTTGCAGTTAGGCATTTGCGATCGTGTTGTTGCACTTTCTTGCACAATTGCTTGCCCGGTTTGATGTAATTCTCTTAATATCTATAAGGCAAATGCTAATTTTGGAAATATGATCAAAAGTGTTTTCGAAATGTTAGAAAATGTTTTGAATTTAGTGGTATACGTCTCGGATCTACCCATTTTTTATCATTTTCTTAAGCCACGGGACTTATTAGCAAGACCCATTTTGTAAATTGAATAAATAAATAAACAAAATCTTCAATTGAATTAAAAGTACCACCCAAAGGATAGGCATGGGGCAATAACATCTTCACAACACAAACCTTTAAAAATTCAAAATGCACCAAAATTAGGCAAGCAAAAACGAGAAGAACATAGAATGAAGAAAAAAATCTCTGCACACTCCACATTAGCCCAGACAAATAAAAGTAAAATTTTCATGGAATTCATAAAAACTAATTACCCAATTTATTTAGAAAGTGAAACTACTAATGCCATAAGAAAACTGACAAATTTTGGATCAGTGCACTCGCACTTTGTATGAATTTTCGTTTTATCACCTACCCTAAACTGTCTTTTAATTTTTCTTTCGTTTTCCTCGCTGCCAAACAGAGGTTGGAGAGAGAACTACAGAGCAGGCATACAACATTCACATTCGAAGAGAAAAAGAAAAGCAGAAATTGATACGAACCACCAAGAAGAGTACGAGAAGACTCGATCGAGCTTGTGAAGATCAATTCGTGTTTTCCCCACCACAGCCCGTGAAATTGGATTGGGCTCTAATTTCGGCTGCAGAATTAGTTCATTGGGTTTTGCATGCTTGGGCCTGCTTTCAAATTTTAAAGATGGCCCCAAACAGATCAGACAGAGAATCAGGCTTATTTTTAGATTATTTTTATTTGTTTATTTTTGTATTTTTAATAAATCCTTTTTGGAAAAAAAAAAAAAAAAACTCAAGGTATATAAGCCTTGTAACAAAATAAATTCTAAATTTTAAATTTTTTCAATCTGAATAATAATTTTTTATTTATTTTCAATCTAAACCATTTATGTACTTTCCTTAAGCAAAATTGATGGAAAAAGGAATATTTTAGTATTAAACTCAATAAAAAATAGTATTTTAGACATTCTCAATACATCTTCGTTGAGTATAATGACTAAAATATTACATTTAGTCAATTTTAGATAATGAAAATAAACAAATGATTTAAATTAAAAATAAATTAAAATATTAGAATTTAAATTAATAAAATTAAAAACTCATAATTCATTTTGTTACAATATTCAAACCCTTAATTTTTATTTTTTATTTTTAATATAATCTGCCCAATCTTTTTTCTTTCTTTTTATTTTTTTGTCGAGCTAGCCAGTGAGTCAATGGGCATATTGGACTTTAAATTTTTTTTTTTCATTGTTACATTAAGTCAGGACTCGCACAGCGGGGGAGAATTAAACACACACCAAGTAGCTGATAAGGCATCCTTGAGGTCAACTTCCTAACCAACTGTGCTACGCCCAGGAGATTGGCCCAGAGGGGAGTTGAACCCAGGACCTTGGGGCTTAAACCCCAGGCCCTTACCAGGTTGCCACTCACCCCTGGGTTATATTGGACTTTAAAACTTAAACCCAAGATCAGTTCAAGCTTTATTTAGGTTAATCTAATTCTGTCCGAGATACAAATTTAAACCAAGTGAAAGTCAGAGAGACATGATCGGAATATGAATAATAAAATGATAAAAACTCTTTTGAATGAAGAATTCATTGATGAGAACTTCGATCAAACTACTAAAACAAATACAACTATAGATGTCGAATAGGAGAAGTAGATCATTTGGTGGAGAAATGCAATTGTCCATTCAGAAATTAGAAATACAATTTTTAAGGATTAATTACAGATAATTCACTAAACAAATATATTTAGTTTATCCCATGTTAATTTAGTTATTGCGATCCTAAATATATTAATTTTACATTTAATTTTTTTTAAATTGTGTTAATTTAACATAATTCATAGTGTCCTTTTGATAGTTGGACTAAGGGTTGGTTTGAGAATTAGTTATTTTAATCATTTTTTAAATTTTTTACAAAAAGTAAAGAGTGATGTGACAATTTATATTGACTTTTTTGACTTTTTAACTTTTCAAAAATAATTCATTCACGTTTTCAAAATAATTAAAGCGTTGACGTTGTATTTAAAACGACTCATTCCTTTCAACATATTTCTCTCTAATTTTTTACAGGAACGGATTATCTCCAATAGGCTCAAGTTGGATCTCCCAATTAGACTGTATTGATGGCCCTTGGTAGGCCCACCACATAACTATTTTTAATAATTTAAACTATTCACTTTGCAGGGTTCTTCAAACACATCATTCATTAAAAAATTAAAAAAATAAATAAATGAATAATATAGTAACATAATTAAATCACATAAATAATCTGTTCGAAAAACTATACAAGTTAAATGGTTCGAATCACTACCCAATCCAATTAGGAAACCCAATTGGAGACAAGTATCCTCCATTTTAAATTATTTTTTTTTTAAGTACATAGTTTTTCCTGTGGAACCCTGACGATTGGGAAGAACAAAATTAACTGAGATCATGTGTTACAATATGCTTACTAAACATAAAAAGTCCTACTACCAGCTTCATGGCCCAGGTATGATGTCCTCCAATCTTTGGGTATCTAATTAGAGTATGACCCACATGCCAATATAAAGACATGAAGTCAATAGGAGCAAAAATGGCTGTGTAGGACTTCATTGTGAAACTTAGAAATTAGTATGAACATATATATGCATATGAACACTCTAGCTATCATCTAGTCCTTTTTTGTACTAACTCGTTAATCCTTTGTACAAACTCTTAGCAGTCTACGAAGGGCCATGCTGGTGCATGCAGATGAAAACATCAGCTAGTGATTGACTTTTGTCGTGCGCCAATTTAATTGGGATATCGTTAAAATTTTATTCTGTTAGGTTCTATTATTTTAATGTACTCTTTATTTTAAGTCAATAAATTTCTATTTTACTTTAATAAAACAAAATCCTCTTCTCCTAGTGCATATATAATGTTGTTAGATCATATCTTCTACACCATTTATACCTGCACATTGTGCCATGAAACGTATCCATTAATAACAGTAATGCCAGATTTAGAACTCGAGCATAACAAAAATGCTAAAAAAAATAATATGTGGCCAAAGTTCATTATTAATGTGAATCATAAACTACAAAAATTGTATTTAGACCATACACTATTTTTCTCGGTAATTTTGTGTTTGAATCATTGATCTCTCATATTAGTGCAAAAATAAATTTCAAAATATTTTATTCATTCATATATATTTTGTGTCTATAGCAAAATTACATATGAAAATTTTTATCTATTCATATGATTATTATTAGTACTTCACCACAAAAGGTTTTAGAGACCAAAATTTAGAGACAAAATTATTTTTTAAGGACTAAATATTTTTGTTGCGAAAGTGTCATTATTATATTTTTAGCAACAAAAATTAGACATTAGTGATAAATTATTATTCTTTTTTGACCAAATTTTTTATCTAAAAATAAATCCTTTTGCGACTAGATTATTTTGTTCCTAAAAGTATATTTATTACTGAAATTTTTTAAATTTTGTCATTAAAAGTCTGATTTTTTTACTTTTCAGGATGGCTTTTTAGCGACTATTTTCACGACATTAGAAATTAATCTCTAAATGTTTTTTGTAACAAAATTTTCACTTTTAGAAATTAAAAAATTTAATTTCTAAAACTTTTATATATTATACTGATCGGAGAGAGAGAAGACTATAATGCAAAGGCTATTTTTCCGCAAGAAGTGCATTGGTAGATGCTAACAATTCTTAGATCTAACCCTTCATTAACCAACCATATATACTCTATATATATTTCATAAACCACATGACTTCAGAACAAGACACCACCAAAACAGAAAGAAGAAGAAGAAAAAAAAGAAGAGAGACCACAACAAAAGGGGCCAAATTATGTAGTACCACCCACGACACAATGAGCCCACCCACTAGCTCTCATGACTCTGAACTTGCATGCTTCATTAGGCTTTCCCTCACCAAAGCAAGAAGCCTGGAACAACACTGTAAGGAGCAGGAGGAGGAGGAGGTGATGGTGGTGGTTTTGGTTGGGTGGTGATAGCATATAGAATATAGATGATGACGAGAACTATATCGTCATCAAGCAAAGCTTATGATTACAAAATGGCAGTGCCACACTCTCTGATGACGAGAAAGAGAGAGAGAGAGAGAGAGAGAGAGTCTCACTACGAAACAAACAAACCCTCCAAACTGCATGTTTGCTTCCAAAACGGATCAGTGAAAAGCAATCAATGTCCACATTTTCTATCTTAGGACTTTATATAAGGTTTCTCTCCTCACGAAAAAGATCCTTCTCTGTTTTTTTCCCTTTTTAACAATCTCTCACTCGCTCACACTCTCTCTCTCTGTCTCTCTCTGTGCCATTCTGCACAACTAAACCAACACACAACAGGGTTTTGGTATCCCTACTAACCATAAACGAAGTCGGCTAAGAATACAGAAATTAAGTACGAAATAAAACACAGAATATATACAAATAGATAAAAATTTTATAGAGTCAGTTTTGAAAAATTTTATCCATTCATTTATATTCTATATTTAATTCTATAATTAGTTTCTATATTCAATACAAATAATCCACTATATGTCCTCTTTCTCTATTTTTTTTTTTTTTTTTTCATATCCTATTTAATGCATGAGTAGTGAAGAAGATACATACACTAGTTGGTTGGAAATTTTTTTTTTTTTTTTAAAAAAAAAAAACAATACACAAAAAAACACACCAAAAAAAGCACACACAAAAAGAAGGGAAAAGCAGTGTGAGGTCATCGTACTAAAATTTTAAAGAGACCTGTGTTCAAGGATATTCATATTGGTTCTTTGTCTCTTAATACTCCCTGAAGAAGAATCATCACCATTTGTTTTCTCCATTACTGCTTTAAGTGCTTCTTGAATTGAACTCAAACAGTACTGTTGTTGTTGTTGTTGTTGTTGGTCGCCACTATCTGAGTCTTCTTCGCCGGTAATGAACAAGACATTCCTTACTCGTCCACCAAGTGTCGTGATCTCAGCTTTCAGTGTTCTTAGTCTGAGAGCTTTCAAGGTTTTGATGAGATCAGGCAAGAGATCAGACCTGTCTTCACAACACAGTGAAGCTCTGATCAGAAACTTGCCATCTTCATCGTCCGATGCATCGACACTTAGCTCATCGACCTCAGTTGGGACCGGGCTCGTCTCCGCTATTAGAGAAGTCTGGCGTTTGAGCTCCTTCACATGTTGTATCACTTCTGCTAGCAATGAAGCTTTGTCTGTCTGAATCACAAGCATAAATCAAACCATAACACAATCAGAAAATGAAACCTATGTTAGGTAGTTTGTTAGTTAGTTAGTAGTACTTTTTTTTTTATCAGCAAAAAGAACCTTTATTGATGAAAAATCATACAAGATATGAGTTTACATCAAAAAAGAGAGAGGGGGAGCATCAAGCATCAAAGCGACACCCAATCCCAACTAGTTAGTAGTACCTTATGAAGATTAAATCCTTTAATATATTAATGATGGGGCATCTTTAAATAAATATTGGTTGACATGTATTTACAAATATCGGCCAGAATATAATTATATCATCGATAATAATACATGTCGCAATACTATTTTTAAAACCGTGTGAGGACCATATGTATGAGAGTATGATGAAACTTCAAACACTTGCGATATTTTTAATCAAAGTAATGATGTACTCAAAAAAGTTTTGTACAAATTTTTCATAATAAAAATTTTCAATGTTATTTTTTGAGCACCTCATTTTTAATCAAAATATCCACTATTGTGTTCATAATTTGAGAAGAAAAAATATTTTTTCTCAAAAATTCAATATTTAATTTTGCATAAGAATGATATAACAATATCAATTATGTAATTGAAAATATTTTGATAGGCTCTTTACTCTAAGGTGATGTGGAAAAACCAGCCAAGTCATTATGTATAAATTTTTATTTGAATTTATATTCTTATATCACCACTCATCTCAAAAATGTAAATGATATATCAATTTGGTTATTTTTTTTAATTTATAAATTTCTATTTACAAATCATTATTCAAAAAAAACCCTAAACACATTGAGACATATCTATATGTGTATATATTATGGTAAAGTTTATATGTTAATGTGTGAAAAGAAGAGAAGGGTTATAATGACATAGGTAGCTTGATCATTCAAACAAGAAAGTTGGTGTTGTTAATGGTGGGGTTTAGAGGCAAAGAGTATGCAGCAAAGACTGACAAGAATTGTTGTTTGTCTTATCTTTATTTCTTTTCATTCTCAACTGAGTTTGACTACATATCCGGCAAGAATTATCCATGGCAACTTTTCAACCCTCTTGGTTTCTCTTTATCTTATCAAACTATGCGACATTAACGCTTCTTCTACACTTTCTGTTTTTCTTTCCTCGAAACTATCATAAAACTCAGAATATATTTTCCATTAAACCAAAGAAACTAAACAACAAAAACAATTGAAAGTGAATTAATACATTACACAATTAAAAATTAGACTACACTTGGTGACTTTTGTCACCCTTTGTACCTAAATTCTTCCTTATAGATGCCACTAAATTTTTATATCTATGTGCCCATCTAAGTAGAATCTTAAGAAAATCCACACAGATCTCTGTACCCAAAAGCTCAATATAATACAAATCAAAAAGCTTATGATGAAAACACTAAAAGGGATTAGTATATAATAGAACATGTTATACGCGTGAGAATATATGTGAGTTGGAAATTTCAAATTTTATTTTTGTACAAAAATAATATGAAAATTTCCCACTAAATTAGTCACTTTAACACGCAAGGAGCATAGAGTTGAAACAAAATTGGAATCCTTAACCTAATGGGTTGATGGATAGGCAGTTGACTTAGTGGTTTATGTTGTCTCTTGATCGTGCAAATGTTAAACATTCGGGTTTAAATCTATGAATTGATTGCAGTCATTTCGTTATAATTTAACTTAGTAATTTATTAACATCCTGTTGTTTGCAACCAAAAAAAAAGCTAATGGGTTGAAAGGGCTCTATTGTATTTCACATTTATATTTTGGAAAGAAAAGAAAATGATTTTATGGTATAAGTTTTTTTTTTTTTTTGGGCGGGGTGGGGGGGGTGAACTTACTTTGGTGGTGCTTGGAAGTAAGCTACGGAGCTTAGCAAGGTGGTTGTTGATTCTCTCTCTCCTCCTCCTCTCAGCTTCACTGTGGCTCTTAGAAGCAGCCAACGCCTTAGCATCCATGATTTCTTGAGCAGTCATCTTCCCCAGCTCGGCTTGGAGCCCAAACGGAGCCGCTGAGCCATGATGATGAACCACCTGACCAAGTGTGTCTGATATGATCCTAAGATGGTCCGATGGTGAACCATCATATGCAAATTGCAGAGAAGGACCTCTTCTGTTGAGAAAACCCCCATAGGTTGATTGTGGAGGAGGGAGAAGAAATGGGTCGTCATCGCGGGTCGGGTTTGAGGCAAAGTGGACCTGGTTGAAGGAGTGAACCGGAGGGAGAGACCATGGTAGGATTGGAGAAACACCAACACCAACACCAACACCAACACCATCCATATATGCGTCAGTAGTAGTAGTACAGTTTTGTTGGTGCATCTGTTGGTGATGGTGGTGGAAAAGTAATTGTTCTTGGTAGCTTTGTATGTTGTGAATAGTTTGAGAACAATCCTCTTCTTCTTCTTGTTCTTTTTTCCCACACATCATCTCTATATCTAACACCACTCCACACCCTTAAGTAGCCGCCACTCACTCACTCTCTCTCTCCTTCTCTCTCTCTAAAAAACAAGATTGTAATTGAAGAGCTTTTGGATTGCTCCCCTAATCGTCTCATCTTTCTTTCATGTAAAGATGAAAAGAGAGAATATGAAGAAAGAAAAAAGAAGGATCAAAGACTTGGACAGACTATATACTTCCTCAGGGACAAGATGGGCTAAAAGGGGTATTAAGGAAGAAACAGAAAATCAAGTAAAGACAGACCTTTGCTTTGATTTGCTTTGTAACAAAGAAGAGCCTTTGCTTTGCTTTGCTTTGCTCTCTCTCTCTCTAGAAAATTTGGTCGGTTTTTCTGCAAAAGGCTTTGTGGGGAGTGATATGATATGAGTATGACCCTTCTTATCCTACCATCATCAACTAAAGCTTGCTTTCCTTTTCACTTGTGGACTGTGGGTATCTTTAGTTTTTGTTTCTTTTGTTTTCTTTTGGGACCTTAATAGTCTCTTCTGCTTGGTCTCTCTCTCCCCACACCCAAACTCCCCCCCAATATATAGAGGTGTGTAAGTACTGTTTCTCACCTTTCCTTTGTTCTTACGGCATTCTCTTTTCCTCTCTCACCGTCCATTTCTGTAGCCATCGTCTGACTGTAAATCTTTATACATACATGTATAATGGAAAATGCTACTAGTAAATTATCACATTTTTTATACATGATTTCTTTTTATAATGATAAATTCGGAATATGACAGGAATCAAAGAATAATAGTAATGACATCATTTTTATAGCAATCCTAAATAAATTTTCAATTGGTATGTCACTAGTCATCTAAGCTGCCGTTTAAACTTCTTTTTTACCAACTTTTTCTCGCTGTACATAAATTTAGTGACCATGCAACGGGTTGTTGGGCAAAATGACTTCTTTTTTTCTTTTTCTTTTTCTTTTTTTTTTTTTTACTAAAAACAGTTTAAAAATTTTGTAAAAATGAAGTAATTTGTTTAGACTAACAACACGTCTCACCCGATAATTTGAATAATTTATTTTTTAAGTTACAATAGATAGATCATTCATGAAAAAAAGTCACTCTAATGATTATTAGATCAATTTGACTTTTTTTCACAAATAATATATACATTATAATCTAAAAAATAAATTATTTAGACTATCGAGATAAAACCCGTAGTGGAACCCATTGGCCCAAACAACACACTGAAGTTCATTCTAGATTAAAGATAAGCTTAGCCCTATTTTGGAAATATATTATTTTAGTAACTTTTTTATTTTTTCATTAAAATATGAGATAAAAAAAATTAGTATGTTTAAGATAAATTTTTAATTTTTTACGAAAAAAATGTGCAAAAAGTATAAAGAAAATGATGGGGGTGTTTGGTGGAGCTTTTTTAAGCCAACTTATGGTTTCTGGCTTTTAAAAAGTTATTTTGGACTGTTTGGTTAAACTTATTTCAAACAGCTTCTGATTCTAACAACTTATTTTAAGTTTAAAAAGCTGATTCTGAGAAGCTGCTCACCCCTTACTTCTGATTATCAGCTTCTGCTGTGGATATGTTAATTCACGGTTATACTCCTAGATTTTTTTTATTTTTTTTATTTTTAAAAATAGAAAAAGACCCAAATGGATTATAAAATATTATTATTATTTTTATGAAAAATGTAGACAAATAGTGAATAATAAAAAATAAAAATTAATTGAAAAAGCTACTTCACAACTTATTTAATAAACACTACTCACCAACTTAAATCTATAATCCAACAGTTATACCAAACAGATTAACAGATTCTGGTTAAAGTCATAATCTATAATTTGTTAAGTTATAATTTATAATCTGTTTTAACAGCTATACCAAACAGCATCGATATCTTTGACTTTTTTGTATAAGTAGTTGGCTTTTTTATTTTTTTGAATGACTTTTTGACTTTTACACTAACATATTGAATTGCCAAACGAGGCGTTAGTCCTTAAAAAAATTTTAATTTTTTTTTTAAAAAGTCCTAAAAAAATAAATCATCCATATCAATCGTTCACATTTTTTCGTATAACTAAAAAAAAATTATTCCAAAAAAACATTAACCTTTTTTCACGGTATACGATGTCAAAAATTAAAAGTCACCATAAAAACTAGTTTCCAATAGAGCATTTAAATGTGTTGGGAAAAATATAAACAAAATTGCAACAGTAAAGTAATGAAACAGAAACTCGAGCTTATCGAAATAGGAACTAGAAATTAACAGAACTCATGGAAGCTGAAACTCATAAGACAATATGTGAATTTTTAAAAACCGGAGACGATTAATCATAGTAGTTGATACTATGTCCTTAACATAGAATTTTGATTTCTCATAAAAATATAATGAATATGAAATTTTCTGAACAGAGGTGAATTAAAGGTAACCAAACACTAGTCCCTTAATTTTGTCTAAAATATGATCAAAATCATGTTACAAAACTATTTTTCAAAATGCATGTGAAATCTATTATTTTGTGGGTAAATTTTGATTAAAAAATAAATTGTGTAAAATTGCACTCACAACTCCTGATATTTGTAAAAAAATACAATTAGTCTCACATTTTTTATATAATTACATTTACCTTCATTTTAGTAAATCTAAATTGACCAAAACTCATGCAGATTTTGGGTAAAAATTAAAATAAATAAAAATAAATATACATTTTAATAAAATAGATATGCCAATAACATTTTTTTCTCATACGAGTAATAAATTATTGATAAAAAATAGTATAATTTTTATGTGAATTAAAAGTTAAAGAAAATTAGTATAATTATGTTAAAATTATAAGATTAATTGTATTTCTTTAAAACTTAAAAAGGTGAATATAATTTACCCACATTATATTGAAGGCAAATTTTCTCTGCCCTATAATTTAGATTAGAGTATTGTTTGAGCATGTGAGACTGGCTGCAAATCTTGTTTTGATAACTTAAATCTTTTATTTTATGAGATAGTTCATATATTTCATCCAAAATAAAAAAAGTATTGATTTAATAATCATAATATATTTAATTTATTAAATAGATCTAATTTTTTTATGGAAAATGTTAGAGGGTCACAATTTTTTTGGCCAAAACGACGTTTTGGCAGTTTTGAGCCATTGTGGCCAAAAAAATTGTGGCCCTCTAACATTGTTGTTTTTTTATATACATATTTATAAATGAAATAGTTTAAGTAACTCAAAAAAAAAAAAAAAAAAAGAGTTTAAATGAACATGAACCTGAGATTCAAATAAAGCAGTCCAATTATATAGAATAAAATATTGAGAGTTGTTTGGTGATTGGCTCAAAGATTATAATTACACTACAGTTGAGAAATAGAGGAGATAGAGGGTGGGAAAACACAAAACACAAACAGAGTGAAGACAGAACACACAGATTGTCGACCGACGAGAATAAACCAATAAATAAAATGAGAGAGAGGCTGTGGCTATGTGACTATGTACTCTTTAAAAAAAGTTGATAAAATGTCAATTTTTTATTTTTTATTAATTTTATGTCATATTACATTTCACATAATTTATTTATAAAAAGATAAAAAAAATTAAAAATTAATTTTTTATCAATTTTTCAAAATATCCCTATGTAGTGTGTCTATTGTGATGATAAAAAGGACATTTGCCTCCTCAGTCAAGTCCCCACGTTCTTCCATACTCTCACTCTATGTTTCTTTCTCTATAGGTATTTTCCACGCCAGTACTTTCTGCTTCCCCAAAGACCCAAGTAATCATTGTGTCTTGGAATGCACTCCTTCCTTCTTCTTTTCTCTCTCTCTCTCTCTCTCTCTCACTCTTAAAAGTATACTTATATAAGTTCTCTCTGTCTATATGCGTCCTCGATTTCAGTTGCAGATATATTCATAAATCACCACTTTTACATTTATCGAATTTGTTTGGATTGAATTCGTTTGCGCGAGGTTTTAAAGACGAACAAATTCTGTAGATGAATTTTTAATTATGAATTGTTACTTGTGCTTTTGGAATTATAAGCCTCTTTAAAAATAATTAAAGCTTTTTGTTATGCATATTAGAATTGGGAAGAAAATTATTTGATCATCTTGGGCCAAGTCTAGTTGGTGTCCAATTTTTTTTTAATTGGTTAAAAATAATAAAATTTAGTATTTTTGTATTACTTTTTAAAAGACAATATGATAATTGTTATGTAATAAATAATGTGAAGTACTCCTAAAATTACCAAATAACTTTTTAAGTTGTTACTAAAAAAAATACTCATATTAGAGAAGTGCTATAATAATTTTTTTTTTTTTTTGGGTGCACTTTTTCTACATAGATACAAATTGATCCCTTTAACAATTTTATATCCCATTATGCAATCGGTTTGTATTTTTATACTTTTTATTTATTAAATACGTATCATATATTCTTAAAGTAGATGTTAAGAAAACTTTTAAAAACTATACATGTTTTTGATAATGCAGTTTAATCGGCAGGATATCGATCAGACCGATCCAAGTGCTCCACAAGTAGATTGTCCTTCGTCTCCCTAATTGTACCTATAACAAGTCCACTAGGAAAGTTTCGAAATGAGGATGGTTCCTTCCAGTATATCCTCAGACGATCAAGTTAGACGAGAAGGTGGTCGGAACAATAGTTTAGAGAGAAGGTTGAGAGTAGAGAAAGAGAGAGAGATATTGATCTTACTTGTCCCTTAAGCATTCTTCCTTATATCACTTACTAATCATTCTTCTGTCCTTTTCAGTTGTCTCGTTGGCCAAAAGTCTATAGTCTATTTACTGTCGGTCATGGTGGTTTTACCATGCCCTAGAGTGAGAGGTTTTGTTGTATTTAATGTCATGGCAGCCTCATTTAATACGTGGTGTATGAGTGCAATAACTCTACAGGATCTCTGTATGTTACGTGGCTAACTCTCTACCTGACACACGTCTAACTAGTATCTGGGCTTGGCCACTGTGAGTTTCCTATTAGGATTGGTGTCGGGCCTGTTTGCCGGGCTTCAACTAATTGACTGCTTAGATAATCCAAAACAACTGTGAATTGGACCCTGCTGAGCATGCCCGTTAGTTTTATTATACATTTTAATGCTTATGCCTTTAAAAGCATATGGAAACACATTAGGACATATAGAAACACATTAGGATTAACTTCAACGGTATAGTATTCTACACCACATTTCTATACTATCTAACCGATCAACATGATATTAGTGTAATAAATTTCACAATTAATATATACAATATTAATAGTTAAACTAAAATAAAATAGTTAAAATAATTTTGATAACATTACTCATTATACATTTTATAATGTATATTATTTTTACAATGTTAAAACTACTTTTTCCCAATAGCTATAACAAATATTAAATTAAGAATCTTGCTAACAAGTGTCACGAAGCAAAAGAAAAAAAAATTAAAAATATTAAAAATATGAAATACATTTCACTAAATTCAGTACATGTTTTATTAAAATTAATACATCTTCTAATATTTTTATTTATTTTCAACCGTTTTTTACATTGG